CACCGCTCGCAGCCGCCGCCGCGGGGCGCTGGCGGGGGGCGGGGCCGCGCCACGTGCCTCATGAATATTCAGCAGCGCCGCCGCCGATTGGCCGCCGCCCCCGGAAGCGGAGCGGGGGCCGAGCAGCTGACAGCAACATGGCGGCGGCGGCCGGGCGGCGTGGCGGGGGCTTGGGGCGGCCACCCGCGCCCGTGAGGGACGTGCCGCCCGCCGGGGAGCTGGTGCGGCCCTCGGTGACAGAGCTGTCCCAAGTGCGGACCAACATCCTGTGCACCGTGCCCGGCTGCGGGAAGGTGCTGCCCAACAGCCCGGCCCTCAACATGCACCTCAGCAAGGCGCACCCGCTCCAGGTACCGCCGTGAGGCCGGGCCGGCCCCGCCGCCCCCTCCCGCTCGGCCCCTCACCGTGGCTGCGTGGCTCTGGCGTGGCGCAGCGCCGTGTTCCGCCCCGGGGCCTGCGGCCGGCTCGGGTCCGGGTCCGGGGGCCGGCTGCCGTGCTGGCTGTGCTGGGGTTTGGTTCGTAGTGAGACTGAGGGGCGGTGTGATTCCCCACCCTGAGAAGAACTGGGATTCTTCCGAGAGATTCTGAGACAGCTGGGATTGTTCAGCCTGGAGAGGAGGGTGTTGTGGGGTGACCTAATTGAGGCCTTCTGGTACCTGAGGGGAACTCACAGGAGGGATGGGGACAAGAGCCTGGAGTGGCAGGACAAGGGGGAACGGGTTCAAATGGAAAGAGAGTAGGTTTAGGTTGGACATTAGGAGGAATTTCTTCGTTGTGAGGATGGGAAGGCCCTGGCACAGGTTGCCCTATCCCTGGAAGTGTCCAAGGCCAGGTTGTACGGGGCATGGAGCAACCTGGGATAGTGGAAGGTTTCCCTGCCCATGGGGATGGAACAAGATGATGTTCAAGGTCCCCTTCCAACCCAAACAATTCTATGATTCCAGGTGGGAATAATGACGTGTTTCTCGTTGTCTCTTGTTTAAATTTCCCCTTGTGAAGCCCACTGCAGGACCCTGTATACATACACAAGTGTGCATGTGTGAATGGGCTGACCAATTGTGTTGAGGATTCCTCTAAAATTACTTACAGAAAATAACCAATTTTGCACATTTTTGTAAACATACCACAAGCAGTTAGGAGTTCTTTGGGACTTAGCTTCTGTTGTTTTACTTGCTTATCACCAATCTTTCTGCAGTAAGACTTTAAAGCTCCACTTGTGAGGTGCTGTGCAAACATGCAGCATTTCCTAACCTTATCAGCTGGCAAACCGTCTCCATCCCAACGCCGAGGGCTGTTATGCTGGGGTTTTGTTTGTTTTTTTTAAAAATGTCTGAGCTAAAAAAAACCCAGCAAAACAGATGGATGCCATTTTGGAAACAAGCCCTCATTTCCATAATACTCCTGAGCTAAGCATGTGCTGGGGGGGAGGAGAACCGCAGTTCAGCAGGCACACATTGAGAGTGGGCCTTTCGGGAAGATATCCTTGCTTTTCCCAAAATTGTGATGCCAAGCTTGCAAGGACAAATTGTATTCCTGGAAAACTTCAAGTGCAGCATTCATAGCTGCATTCTGAAAGTGCAGCCTCAGTGGGTGAACAATAAACAATAAACATCCCTGTATTGGTGAATTGGCTACAGAGTCAAGTGTGGGTCACACGTGCTCACTGGTGAGGAACAAAAGGAAATAGTGTCAAGTGTACTTGCTGTCATGTGTCTCTGGGATGTTTTAATTTCATTTCCTGTACCAACTAACAGCTTTATTGTGTGTTATGTGTTAGATCTCACATGTCCATGTGGGGAGGAGGTACAGCAGGAGTTCCAAGTGTTCTTTCAGGTCAGCAGAGTCATTTTGGTTGTGATCTGATGCTCTGAGCGTGCAGTGCAGCTGGTGGCTTACATAACTCAGGGTATGATGGGTGAGCAAATGCTGCTTTCTCACCCAGCTTGCTGTTAGCCACCAGTGCCTTGTGGAATTAGAGCACACTCCATATGCCTAATTACTGAATCTGGTGATGGCTTGGGATAAATGCTGAAACGTGGATGGATGCAAACTTTCTGAAACTCCTTGACTTGTTTCAAGGGCATTGTAATTGAGACTAAAATGTTGTTGAGGCTTAAGAGACTAAATATTTTTATATTGGTATTCCCTTTTAAGAGGTAGCTGATTGCCCAGATAAAAATAATTTATTAGATTGCATTTATTAGTGAAATATTCAGTTAGTGAAGAGACAACTTGGCAAATGAGATGGTAAGAAGCTATTGGGGAAGAAGAGAACACAGTACACCTGAAGAGAAGGGAGGATGACTTGGTTAATTTTCATTAATAAAAGTAGCACCAGTAGGATGTTTTTATACCAAAACCCATGAGGAATTGCAGTGGCACAGGAAGGACATTTACATGGAGATTACCCTGTAAAAACAGAGTTAAGTGCAGCAGTACCAGGTTTTAATCTTGTGAAGTGATAATGGTTTGACCAGCTCTGGTTTGTAACAGAAATAACCTGAGGTGGGAAACACTTGCAAAATAATTTGGTCATACACGAATGAGCATTTAGGGTAAAGCTGCTGTGAGAAGGGCAGTCCTAAAATATAGCAGAGGGATATTCTATGTTAGTACTATAGGGTAAAAACCTGGTTCAAATAAGTTAAAATTAACCAGAAGATGTGTAGAAAATAACTGCTAAGGGTGATGAATGGCAAGTGTTTCTGACAAAGGGAAATTAGAAAAATTTGGCTTGTTTTGCCTAACAAAGATATGAAGTGTTGATACATATTTTTTCTGGCTCCTTGACAGAGGATAAGCTAATTTAAAAAATGAGAGCAGTGGATATAAACTTGAATTTTTTATTTTAATTCTTTGGTCTTTTGGCTACATTATTTTATGGGAAGAAGGGAAACTACATGTATGTGTTTTAAAATGAAGCTAGAAGAGTTAATGTAAAGGGGAGGGTTCTGTGGATTACTGTGATAACTGGGAGGCTGTAGTCAGTGTGAACTGCAAGGGTAGCACACCCTTGGGGTAGGTTACTCAAATACTGCACTACCACAATGGTTGTTATTGTGAGAATAAATGCACTTCTCTCCATGTCCTATTTAGTAAAGAAATGGCTGAGCATCTGCTGCAGAAACCCCCATGTTTTAAAGAGTTGACTACAGTCTACTGCAAGATCATTTAAAATGAATCCTTTGGAGTAAGCCTTTCTGGGGCAGGAAAGCAAGACGTCACTAAGTTCACCTTGACTAAGTCTGTAGCAAGGAGTGTTAATTCTGCTTTCCCAGTTGTTGTCACTAGCCATGTCAGTATTCCTTACACTGCAAGTGTCTGCGCTGGGAGAAGTTCATTGCACCAATAGCTGCCTATAATTTTGGTGGGTGGATGTTGTAGAAACATGGGACATAACATCAGATAGGTAAGGAAGGGAGCTGTGAGAGTGTCTGAAACAGAACTGGCCAGGTGGGCTTTGGGAAGACACAGGATTAACCATTTAGAGCCACGAGGACTTGGGATAGGTCAAAGCAAGATTACTGTCCATTTACAATATCTTACATGTGTAGAGTATGTCTCAGCTTGTCACAACTAGTGTGTTGTGGTCTCTGCCACTAAAGGCTGTGTTGCAGCTGTTTAAAAAGCATTTTATTGGTGTCTATAAAGCTTTTAAACACTTGGTATTATTCTATACCTTAGTATTTCAGTAGTTTTAAATAACCTGGCTGAGGTTTACCTGTCAAGTTGCTGAACATGTTTCCCATATTGCCCTGTCAGTTGTTGGGTTGTGATGTTAAATATAATGCACTTAATAACTTTTTATTTAGGAATAAGTAACTCTAATTGCCAGTTACTCAGCACATTGGTATCATTTGCAGTGGGAGAGGCCACACACAGCTTTGACTTAAAGGCAGATATTTTCTCCTGAGGACTTTGACATGTGATGAAAGTGTTCTGTATAAAGTCAGGGTTAAAAAGTGGAATTGGGGCTGGAACAACTAGATTTCTTTGTGTCATGTTCCTGTTTAGGGCAGTGGCTCTAGGAGGTACAACAATAGTCACAGTGATGATTCAGCAGAGATAGAACAGACCTGTTTATGAATGGGCTGTCCACAGGGAAAACTGCTGTACAGGGTGCTTAGAACATAAAAATGTTACATGAAAACTCCCTTTTTAGAGACTTATTCGAGGTTTTCTTGATATGGCAGGTGATCATTTTGGTCAAGAGGCTCTAAACATTGCTTGAGTCTGCTATGTCGTTAATAAAAATGAACTTGTGGCAATGGCAGCAGGTAGCAGTGTTGAGTGTGTGGAAATATAACTGAAATGTTGCTTGAAGGGATTACATTTTACAGATTATCTTAGTTTAAGAGGTGATTTGAGGGAAAACAAAATTATTGAAATATTCCCCCTCCCCAGCTTCCTGAGGTGTAAATGAGAGGACTTCAAAAGCAAGGCATGAGTGGCTGAGGACAGCATTGTTGGGTTGTGAGTAATTGCAGGTGGGTAAGAGGTGGGGGTGTGAGCAGTGAAGCCCTTTGGGCCCTGGCAGCTGACATACTTTGTTTGTTTGCTTCACACGGGGAGGACTGTTGTGCTTTGTGCATTCTCTGTGTTTGGTGAAACCTGTGTAAACACGACCAGCTGGAGATCTGCCCAGAGAGGTAGTTAGGGAGTGACTGGTGTGAAATTAACCTTCCATTACTGACTGTGCTCACTGTCCTCATGCTAAGGAAAATCAGGTGCCGAGTTCAAACAGGGCATGGTCCCATTTCTTTCCTGAAAAATTACCTTGGGGATGCCATCATGGACTATACTAACTGGCTCTAGGAACTGTGTTTGGCCTCCAGTTCAGTCTCAGGATAGAAGGAGACTCACAGCTATTCTGAGCATCAGATTTTAAATAGTTCTCTTTTAATGTTTTGCTCGGATACAGGTGCCTGATGCTTCTACTGAGACCCTTTCAGTTAGGGTATGTCTAGAGGTATATGTCCTGTCTGTTTTCCATGCCAGTGTCCTCAGTAGGAAGGGAATTCTGTGTGGTTGAACAATCTAGACAATCCCACTAGTATGTCCTTCTTACATGTCCTTCTTTGAGGTCTTCTTTGCACAAATTGTGTTGCTTTCTTCTATGTACATTGAGGGTCAGTGAGACAACTCACATGGAAGGTCTGGATAGATTGGTCACTTTGTGTTTGAGGGTCAGAATTAGCATACCAGTTGTTTCATAGACATAAGTGAGATTTGGTTTATGATCCAGAAGGTCTGGATAGATTGGTCACTTCGTGTTGAGGTTTCACCTCAGAATTAGCATACCAGTTGTTTCATAGACATAAGTGAGATTTGGTTTATGATCTAAATTAAGTGGCAGAGCATACTTGGCATTTTTCATTTTTATTACAAGTAAACTCTTAGCAGTGCTAACAGAATTCCAGCATCAAGGAAGTGTTGTGTTTCAGTGACTAATCTTAATGGAGCTTCACATACTGTGCTACTAACAAGTAAAACCACATTGAATCAGCAGTCCAGGGTAGTATCTGTATGGAAATTTTTTTTTGGCTCAGATAACAGGAAACATAGGACAGGGAGTGTCTTAGTAAAGTACCAGTAAATAGTACAGTACCACTACTCCATAGAGCTTGTTGTGATTGATCCTGGTAATTTTGATGGAATATTTGCAAAGTGGCATCCACACAGGGATAAAACTCCATTTGATCTTTCAAATCACATAGGAAAGTGCCTCCAGCTAATTGAGATGTGTAAACTCAGTGAGCCATAGTTCCTGTGTATTCTGAATATTGTCTTGAATATGCAAACCTGTAGAATTGTCAACTTCTCAACTGGTTCTTTTTCAGGATGGAAAACTTAATGCACCAATAAGGAAGGGTTTGAAAACTTCACAGAAATTCTACTGCTGTCCTATTGAAGGCTGCCCTAGAGGACCAAACAGACCATTTTCCCAATTTTCTCTTGTAAAACAGGTATTCCTGTTTTCTGAAGTATTTTCAGACTGATTTAGTCCTATCTCTACTCCAAAGAGTGTGCACTTTTGCATACAGATACAAGCATAACCTCTCAGCACACAGGAGAAGTTAGAGAACTGTATGCAGCAACTCCAAGTGCACTTGTGATTCATGAGTTTGCATGTTTGCATGTTGATATTAGAGGACTTGAACCTTTTGATCAGACAGAGGCCAGTATGTTCTTCTAAACTAGATCAGAGCCCCTCTCCACAAATTAAACAGATGGAGAAAGATTAAAGGAGAGGGTGGGAAGAATTACAGTAGCAACTGATGAAGGTTTAAACTGTGATGCTTTTAACTGCTTTTTCAAGTGGTCAAGGATTAAGAGCTTTTCTCTGCTTTAATATTAAAATGCATTTGTTTACTAGTTAGCCTGTTTAAGAAAACATATAAGACTTGGTTCTGCATTAGAGAGCAAAAAGAGCACTGTGCTGCAGTTGGTTACCTGTGCTGAGCTGGGGACCCTGTAGGAGTTGAGTGGCTGGCACTTGGTGCCATAAATGAAAAGGAAAAATTCTGGTGTTTGCTCTGGTGTTGACCTGTACAACTTGTGATTATTTTCTCAGTTGTAGATCCTCAGGAGTGTGCACATGTTGCAGCATAACCTTACTGTGCTCGTTGGGCAAGGTTGATCTATAGATTTATTGGTGTCCACAGGAAATCTTCAATGGCATTAGAATGGGTAGATGTTTATCTGTGTTTTTAAGATGCATGTAGCATCAGCAGATTTGCAAACTTCAGATTCTCTCTATTGACTTCTTTAAACTTATTTGTAGTAACGCTTTAAAAAATAATTAATGCTACACTTCAGTGCTACTTAGCAACTAAAATTTGCAGATATTTTCTCCCATAATCATGATTTTATTTTTTTAATCTTCACTGAATGCTAATGTTTACTTTCCCTTGTGTATTCTAGCACTTTATGAAAATGCATGCTGAAAAGAAGCACAAATGTGATAAATGTAGTAACTCCTATGGCACAGAATGGTATTTGAAACGGCATATAGAGGTCTGTGGGAAGACTTTCCAGTGTACTTGTGGGTGCCCTTATGCCAGCAGAACAGCATTACTGTCTCACATTTACAGAACTGGCCATGAAATTCCTGCAGAACACAGGTAAAAGTGACGCAGTGAAGTAATGGTACATTCATCACCAAGTCCTGTGTGTCTCATGTGCTGCTTTTTTGTCTCCTTTCTGTTTATTAAATAGGAAATTAGGATCATGTTGTTTTAGTTGCAAAGCAGTGTGCAGTTTCTTTGTTGCTTTTAGGAGTTTCTGTTTTGTTGAAGGCAGTGGTGGTCATCTAATCAGTAAGATCTGGTTTCCCTACATAGAAAACAAAAAGTACTGATGACACTGCAGTGCTTGGTATAAATGGGTGTGGTTCTTGTTGCATTCTGCTTTTACAGTTCTGTGAGAGTAGACATGATTTGGAGATATGTATAGCTGGTAACAGAGGTGTGGAATGCAGTTCAGGTTATTTTCTTGTACAGTCTAGTCATTGTTGCAATTGTTGGTGGATGTATTTTTTATCACCTATGTTTAGACTTATAGTTTCCATATGTCCATATATTTCATAAAGGGCAGTCTACTTTCTGAAGCCTAGCCTATCTCTGAGGTTCAGCTGCTGCAAAATTTAAGCTTTGTGTGAAGAATTGCTAATTTTTATTTTCTGTTTCCATGAGAGACCATTACCTGTACGTATATTTTAAGAGCTCTGTCCCTTCCAATGCTCAGACTGAGTCAGTGTCAAAATAACACGTTAAAAGTCTTCAAATCAATGTGCTTAATCTAAGAGGGGAAGACACCATCTAAACTTGCACATCCATTTGGAAATAGGTCTCCATAAGGGGTAGTGTTTATTCTTTTTTAAAATGAGAGAGCCAAGAATGACATTTAGCAAAATTGAACTTCATGGAGTCTTTTTATGTTTTAATCTGGATTAATTGTCTTCTCGTATCCAACCTCATCTGTGACTTCAGTTGGTATTTTCAGTGCAGTCACTCAAAAGAATGGAAGGCAGATGTTATGTGTTGGAAAGAAGTATAAATTATTGATCTCATGTTCACAGGGATCCTCCTAGTAAGAAAAGGAAAATGGAGTCCTCCATTCATAATCAGCAGTTGGCAGAGAAAGCAAACGAAGCATTCAGCAATACACACAGTACTGCTCCTGGCACTCAGGAACTGGAGTCCTCTGAAGTGAAAGTAGCAGCCTCTCTTGAAGGCTCCTGCAGTTCTAACTTCACAAACCAAATGCAGCCAAAATGTGCACCAAAGATGCTTTTACCCAAGCCCAAGGTGGCTTTGGTTAAACTTCCAGTGATGCAGGTTGCTCACTTGCCTGTGTATGTATCTGCAACAGACTCTTCTGTCAAACCTGCTGTAGTGGCTGTTGATAATCAAGGTTCAGTTGTAAGTACTGTTCATTTATTGCCTCAGTCTATAGGAATCCTGATTCCAGCCCTGGAGGCAGAAACACTTGTATTTAAAGACAGTATGCCTGTTTCAAAAGTGACAGCTTCTGGTGATCGTGAGCCAGTAAGTACTGGTGTACAAGTTGAATTGGACAAGGTTACATCAAATAACCCAGGGCAAGAGCTGGGGAATGTTTGTCACAAGAACAAAATTTCTTCAATAAATATACAGACTGACTTATCTTATATCTCACAGAGCTTTGTACCAGCTGCAGCCTGGACTCCCAATTCTTCTGTGTCCTCTTGTTCTCAGACAGATCTGTCATTCAGTTCCCAGGTTTCATTACCCATCAGTGTACAGACACAGACACTGCTGCCTGCTTCCAAGCTGACTTCATCCATAGCTGCTCAGACTGATGCTTTCAGTCAGGGCTGTTTTCCAACGTGTGGCATTTCCAGAGAGACTCAAACCAGCAGGACACAGGACTGTATTGATGGAAGAGTACAGATGGACCAGGCTGTAATGTGCAGTGACATTTTTGACAATGTTCCTTCATCATATAATGTTTCTACTCACATTGAACTTCCAGAAAACAATTTAATGCCTGCAAATATAGATCAGACCTTGCTGCAAAGAAGTAGTTGCAAGAGCCTGAATCAGGATACGGTTAAGTCTGAATCCCTTATCAGCTTCAATACACAGACTAATATACTTCCACCTCAAAATACAACAGATAATCAAACCCAGACAATGGACCTGCTGAGTGATCTGGAAAACATTTTTTCAGGAAACATGTCTGGCCAGTCACTGGATAATCGTGGCCTTTTGTCTGAGACCAGTTCTAATGCTGACACACATCTTCCTTCTGCTCCATCACAGAGCACGGGGATAGACTTCGACATTGAAGAGTTCTTTTCAGCATCCAACATCCAAACTCAGACTGAAGAGAGTGAGCTTGGTACCCTGAACTCTGAGCCAGTTTTGGAGTCACTGGACATTGAAACTCAGACTGATTTCTTATTTTCAGATAGTGCCACTCAATCATATAACTGCCGAGGCAATTCTAACTTCTTAGGTTTGGAGATGTTTGATACACAGACACAGACAGACTTGAATTTCTTTTTGGACAGTACTACCCATCTGCCTTTAGGAAGTATTCTGAAACAGTCCAGTTTCTCCATGAGCACTGACTCATCTGATACAGAAACCCAGACAGAAGTATATATGGCTACTAAAAATACACCTGCTCAGAATATGGAAAGCAAAGTCCAGCTCAGTAGTGCTGAGACACAGACTATGGATAGCTGCTTTGAGAATCTGGGGAGTTTATTCCTTACCAGCAATGAAACACAGACAGCAATGGATGACTTCCTTCTGGCTGACTTAGCCTGGAATACAATGGAGTCCCAGTTCAGTTCAGTAGAAACACAGACCTGTGAAGAGCTGTGCTCCTTGTTCCAGAGCTCTGACAAGCCCAGCCACTGAGTGCTAATATAACTGTTTCTTGTGGTTTGAATTTAATTTATTGGGGTGGGAGAGATGGCTTTACCAATTGATCCACTTTGCATTATTGAATGTACTTGTCACAAGCAGTTGACCTAACAGACTTTTCATGCCGAAGGTACTCTATTGAATATGTAACTTTACATAAACTATGTGTGTATAAATAGAGGGGAAAGGGGGGCCTGTAACATGTTAATGTACATTTGAACCTTAAAAAACTATGTGGTGCCTATGTTTTTTCCTCAAACTTCTTTATGAAGCTGTTACTGCTTTCATCTAAGTGGAAGAACTTTTAAAGTTGTTCTCTATATCTCTCTCTCTATTCCTGGCTTACATGCAGGGTTCCAATGTGCTGGACCAAAACCCTGACCTGTTCAGTTGAGATGCTTCCCTGAACTTATGGGGGAGGATTCTATTAGTGTAAGCTACTTCTGTTTACTTTTTTTAGTAGCTTGTATTTTAAATCCGGCATGAACATAATCAGCCGTATTGTCTTCTTTTACTTTATGCCTTCACAGCTCTTTCTCCTGCATAAGCTGACATTTTCCAAATACCTGTCCAACACACTAGACACCTAGAGATTCTTGAATTGTTGAAAATATTTATTATTTTAAAAGAGTGTAGAAAGCAGTATTTTTGTTTTCCCTGAGTGGCACTGATGCTCTTTGAAGGGTAGGAAAAGAACATGGAATTCGTAACTGTAGGGAAAATTAGTATGTCGTCCTTTTAGCTAGCATAATAAATGGGACTAACATTTTTAGTCTTCAGAAGGGATTTGCTTAAATTATTTCTGTCTTGAAGATGCAAATGTTACAATGTGCGTGCCTCAGAGACTGGAATCATTTGGTTTTGCTGAAATTCTCCTAGCTTTATTGAGATACGAGTTGAGAAATGTTACAGTGGTTTACTACCTTAAGAGAAATCTTTAAAAATGGACAATTAAATTCCTTAAAACACTCACCTCGACTTCTGGTTTTGGACTTCCTGCTTCCAGAAACAGTTGGAATCCATACAGCAGAACTGGGATATCAGCTCACAGAAGCCCTTCCAGAACAGCTCTATCTTACTTTTGCACTTTGATCTGCAGCCCTCAGTTCCTGCAGCTTTCACAGTTTCCCTGAGTATAGTCAAACTCACACAAACTGATTTTTCAGAGAAGAAGCATATGACCTCTTGGCACCTTTTTTTAAATGTTTAGGTTGCCCCTCATGCCACTGTTTGCAGTATTTTTCATTTACATTAAGCCAGTTGTGAATGTATGTTGGAATTTGGCCTTAAGTAATTTTTATCTCTTGCTATAATATCTGTGAAATGTAGGCCTCTGGTTTTGTACTGGACAAGTTTTAGTTTCTGTAACCTTAAAGGAAAACTCTGTGTGTCAAATTCCTGGGTCTGTAACAGACTTCACTCCTCCATTGTTAGAGGAGAGGTATTGGCTGCATAATTACTGTGCAGCCCAGCAGCAAATGTATGTCCAAGCCTTAGGTTTTGAGGACTCCCTATGCTTTGTGCTGCATATTCTCAGTTCAAGGATGTGGGAGTTAAGTTACTCATCCATTGCAGCCAGATTGTTTTTGTTGCAGATGAGCAATACCTTTCTTTTATCCTTTTTTTTTCCTTTGTCTTTTCCTAATAGTCTTTATATTGCTGTGGTGAGTGTCTTTACTGAAATAATCTCTTCAGATTAATCCTGAAACTCACATTCTCCTCCTGAGACCCCATCTGTGTTGCCTGTTTGATTTTTCAACATTTCTAGGTATGATTTCAGACACTTCCAGTCTGGATGAAGAAACTGCAGAACGGAATCTTGCAGTTCCTCAGGAGAAAGTCACTCTGCTGTGGGGAATGCCCCCAGATTTCACAATGTCTGTTGAGTTCTCATCTGAAGGGTGGGATATATTTAAAAAAGGAAGGCCTCACTTGTAATTTTGTTTCTTGTGAAGATGACTGACTCATATTTACTTGCCTACTTTGAAATTGAGAGATAAGATAAAGAACAAAATTAGGTTAATTTATTCTGTTGCAATATCTTTCTAGTAATGTTGCAACTTCACATTTTAAAGTGTTTTTCCTTCCCCTGGCTGCAATACCAGAGAATGCTTCTTCATACACTGATTTCTGTGTTTCCCATATGCAAGTTGTCTGTACTGACATGTGAAAGAGAGGCAGTCACTATGAACCTGGTTTGGGAAAAGGGTGTTTTCCACAGCTGTAGAAGCTGTTTGTTACCTCTGAATTCAGAAAGTCAGCCTTTACTCTGCAAGAGAAGCAATCTTGGGTGCTGAGGAGCAGAATTGCTGAAGGGTTTGAATTGTAGCCATCTGAGAGACCAGCAAGGTTTAAAGTACTTTGAAACTAATTTAGAAATTAGAGTGATAATTGCCATGTTATTGTGTAAGCCAAAGCTCTTAGCATCAGGGACTGTCAGGAAAAGACCCAGAAGTTGTGTGGATGAAATCTTACCATGTAATCATTACCCAGTTATTATACTTTTTAATTAAAAGTCTTTCTGAGCTTTGTGTATTTTATTAGAACATGCAAATCACAATCTTTTCACTCATTCTATTTAAAACAGTTTGGACTTTAATTAGGTGAACACAGTACTACAACATGAAGTCATTTATTGAAAGTGCAGTATTTAGAAATTATTAAATGTCTGCACTGTCTTAGGAAAGACGAAATTAACTTCTGACCAAAATTAACTTTTTTCTTCATTAATTTGGTTCTCCATAAATTATTCATTTAAAAAACAGGTTTGGATCATGCATGTCTGGCTTATGTCACTCAGTTTGGATTTATGAAGTACTTTTGTGAAAATGTGAAGACTGCAGCCAGACTTCATAGTTTGGTGAATCCCACAGGAAACTTCATGAAACCTGATCTGAAACACTATTGCTGAATATTATGAATTTTTCACATTTAAACAAAAAGGCTCTCTTGAAAAGAGAGCCTCTTGCAAAAGGCTGATTTTCTGTTTTTGCCTTTGTTGTAAAATAAACTTCAGACACAACCATTTCTGGGTAGAACTAAAGTGATAATTATCTCCCTTTTTCTGCAGTTTGTCTCTGATTTGATTTTCAAGGCACTGTATTGTAAGTATTGGTCAGCAGTGACTTACTATCTCACTCTTTTTTGTATCCTCTATTGCCATTAGAGCTGCTATACAGAAAGTAACATCAGAGTCTCTGTAGCCTCTTAGCAGAATTTTTTATCTGGAAGTGATACTAATGTTATGTGTACTTACCCTTTGTGTTTCCTGCTTCATTCTGTTAAACTGTGATTGCTGGATCTTGATCCTGACGCCTATGTAACACTACTATAAAATTGAATTAGTACTTTTGTAGTTTCATTTGTGCTTTTCTTTAATGTTTTGTGTTTTTCTTTAATATATAGAGTCGAACAAAGGAAACAGCAGATTTGGGACTTGCATTCTGTGAGAACATAAGCATAAATAAGCTGAAAAATGAAAGGTCTGTCTTGTTGTCTTCCATATTTGTTTGTCAGAATACTGAAAGTTTGTCTGGCTGTAGGTGTTTCCTCTTCTTACAGCTTTATTTGTGTCTATTTCTGCTAATACACCTGTAAATACTTTTTGCTGTGGGTAGGGAGGGAGTCCTCCCCAAAACTTTGTGTTGGCCTAGAAAAATTGGTAGTTTTAAGTCAGAGTTTGCTAATGCTACATATTCTTAGTTATGTGAAGCTGCTTGAGTTTAGAAAATTCTCAGTTCCAAAGGATATGAAAGCATTAAAAAAAAATGTATATATACTTGCAGCTGTAAATTAAACAGCTGCAAAAAAAAAACCTTGTGAAACCTCGTTAAGTTTTTAACTACTTGATCAGTGTCTGTAAATTAATGTATGTAACTAACTCCTTAGAAATGTTTGTTTCAAGGCACAATACACAGGTTTGTTTTTGGTTTTTTTTCTGTTGGAAACAAGAGGCTGAATTTCCTTGTTGGTCATATGGACCCCAGTTGTGTAGGGGCAAGAGAACAAAGAATGATGGCTGCCTTGCACTGTTCTGAGTCCTTATGCTGCTAAGATGTGAATTGATTTTTTGGTGAGGCTGGGTAGAAATGTAGGAGTTGGCAGGACTGGGGGCTTAGGGGGCTAGAGGGGGTTTTATAGCCTTTTAAATGTAAGGAAATTTAATAGAACTGATACTGAATCAACACAGGGTGCTCAACTTGCAAAAGAACATGTTCCTGAAGTGGCAACTCTGAGGTGAATTAAATGTGCTTGCCTTCATCATTAAGGTTGTACAGCTTCCTTTGCTTTAATATCTTTCTGACGTGTGCTGATTTTTTAAATGTGATCTTAATGTACCATTTACTGTTCCAAATACATTCACACCAAACTGTTGATACCATTCTGAGCCTTGCAAGCTTTTTCATTCCTGTTTGGTTTAAGGTGCTGCTATGCTTGTGTCCTGGTAGGATGGGCCTCCAGTAACCAGGCTGCCATTGATAACGAGCACTGTGAGGATACGGCTGTTTAATGGTAGCAAACCAGTGTATGGTGCAGTCATGCATCTTCTGTTTCTTTTGTTGCTGTTTTTATAAGAGTTGATGTGAATTTAAATATGTGCAAGAAGGACTTGCTGCTTAGAACAGGACTGAATTCTCTTGTTTCAAGTGCCATTGCTGTGCAATGAACAGAACTCCGCGCTCAGCCCCGCAGTCAGGGTGAGGGAACGTTTGTGTTTGTGTGTGTGACTCTTCACTGAAAATGTAACCAGACAGCCTGAAATGGTGGACACGCCTCAAGGAACTGCTGAGTTAAATAACAGAAGTCCCTTTACTTGTGACCATTTTTCATATGCTGGCTTTACAGTACCTGCAACAACTAGCTGTGGAATATAACAGATGACTTGTGGATGCCAGCTCTACATTTCACAACTTCCAGTGCTTTACATGCTTCAAGCACCTGCATGCAGAGCTAGATTGACAGTACCTCTATCTACAGACATCTGCAAGTACATCTGTGATAAAGCTAGGTATGAAATATGGCCATATCTTTACAGCTTAAAGAATTCAACACCTGATTACAATCTCATTTAAGTTTGTAATTATCTGGAATGAATGAGTAATAAACCTCATGGGTGAGTCTTTCCCAAAGCGTGTGTGAGTTAATCTCAGCAAGGCTGAGAAATGTCCTTAAAATATTTTTCTTTTCGTTACTGGTGGGATTTTTTTATTTAGTGGACAAATCTAGTTTTCAAAGGATGTTCATGTTTGGTTCTTGCTATTTAAGCCAGTAAACTTGCAGTGACCAGACAAAATCAAGCATTCATTTCTTAAACCTATTTTACAAGTGACAATCCCAAAGAAGGAATGTTGTCCTAGTAACTGTGAAACTTGTAATTACATTATTGCATGCAGAGAAAACCTTGTGCCAAAATACTGTTTCATATTTCTCTCTGTTAGAAACTGAAGTGTTACACAAAACTACTACTAGTAAGTTATTCACAAGTATTGAAATGTTTTGTTCACAAATGAAGCACTTATTCAGTCCTGTAAATTATACATATTTTGGAATAAAGTTAACTTCAATCATTTTTTGCCTTCTGTTTTAATGGCCATGACCTCTGCCTGCAGAGGCCAGGGTGGGGGATCCAGTGCCTATTGGCAAGTACCACCCATTGCTCCTGAACATCTTAATTTCAGTTTACAAAATCTCTACCCACTGAAAAGCTTTCAAAACGTATCCTACAATGTCAGTTCTTGATCTCTGGAGGTGTGAAAAGGTTCTCTGTCTCAAACCTTTCGTCAGCTCAAAATGTAATCTCTGCCTTGTGCATGCAGTGGAATGAGAGCCTCTGCAGAGCAGTTTCAGCTCTGTGGCAGATGCCTCACCTCTACAACAGACTCTCAGGACAGGGTTCCTTTGCTTTCTTCCTCAACCTTACCATCCACCCCTCCTGTAGGGGTGATTTAAGGTTTCTAGTGTCATAACACCCAGTAGAAATTCACCTGAAGTATGATGATTCTATTCTAATGCCTTATTATTTTGTAATGTATTTTGTTTAACTGAGAAAATATTTTTTGCTACTGTAAATATTAAAAAAACCCAAACCCTGGAGTGGTTTGAGCATGTCTCATACTCTGTCCTGTTCCTTCCTGTACAGCTCCCATGCTTAGTGATGATCCCACCATCTTCTCTTAGTTGGAGGATATAAATGCTGATTTTTGTTGTTACCTGTAAGTCTTGCATGTGTGATTCAGAGGAGGTGAATGAGCAGAAGCCTCGTGACTGAAGGTTCATCTGCACTGTTCCCTCAGCTGTAGTCATGAATGAAGCATTCCCTGATGGACAGCAGGAGGCTGCTGTGTTCAGTTCCATCACAGTCTGAGGTAAGCATTTGAAAACAGCAGCATTCAGGTATTTGCAGAGGGGAAGAGCTCATAAATATCTAGAAACTAAATTGCTATTCAGAGCATTTAAAAACATGGAACAGTCAGATGTGTAAGATCCTTCTGGGAGTAACAGCCCTATTCCCATCATAGGGATGGTTCTGCTTTAGATTAGGCTGTTATTTCAGGCTTTTCATCATGCAAAATGGGTTTGACTTATAGGCAGAAGTCAGCTATTTTGACAGCTCTGGAAACTTTCACAAATTGTAGACAGTCCAGAAGACAGGAAAAACTAACTCTTGATTGAGAACAGACTGAGAAGAAAGTGGCTGTTCAGAGATAGGGAAGCCCCATGTATTTTCAAACTACTTTCTGGCCTGCTGTTGCTGAGAATTTTGCTGGCAGTGAAATTGTTCCTGACTGGTTTGGGTTTAGTTCCTGAATTTCTTTCACTTGAAGAAAGTTCATGCTGGCAGGCTGATTGTTTTCCATCAGAACAATGCAGTCAGAGGCTGATTTTCTTTCTGGCTCCAGGATTTGACAGTGAATCAGTCCTTTGGATGTTTGGACCTAAAACAATAGGAGAAAAATGTTGATTTAACTTTCAGGTGTTCTATCATTGCATTTTCACATTGTTGTCAACAATTCATGTGTTTTGTTTTGGCACCTTGAATGGAGGAAGCACTTCTGGCTGATCCAGCCTGTAACTTTATTTCCTTTCCTTGAACAGGAATGGTGTTGTTCTTGAGAGAACTTAACACAAAAACAAGAAGCTCCTGTTTCCTCTGCTGGAAGAACCCAGTGTATTCAAAGGCACATAATGTGATTAAGTTTATGATGGCTGAAGGGTTGTGTATTTGTTTCTTTGTTATTTGTTCTAGGTCTTTAGCAGCTTTTCTGGCCTTCTGCTGCATGTCTTGTAGAATAAACTGTGAGTGTAGTCTATGTTCTTGTATCAGGTTGTAGTAAAACCTCTGTCTAATCTGACAGATTCAAAAAACACAGCAACGCTCTTACCTGGCATCAAACACTGGAAAACATGAAAAAAAATGTTTATAGTTTCCCCTGCGACTCTTTTTTTTGTAGTCCTAAAAAATGGATTACTGAATTTCTTTCTCTTGGGGCTATTTGTGAAGGATGCTTGTTTTGTAGCAGTTGCATTTAATATCTAAATATGGAAAACAGATTAGAAAATATTTCACCATGGGGGAAAGGTACAAAGAAGGGAAGAAAATGGTCTATTAGACCTAACTGTGAAAAAAAAAAGTGCAACAAGCTTATTTTTGGGTCTATAAAGTCATGAAGTAGTGCCACTGAGACCACTTGCAGTTGATAGAAAGCCCTGTGGTTATTTTACAACATGGCATGAAGACTGAGTCACAAGGACTCTTACCAGGAGATGGGATTTAGGAACATCCGTAAGTGCATTTTTTCAGATACTTGTGTGAAGAGTTGTGTTAAAAGTTCTAGAACTGAAAGAGTCCCAAACCTGCTTGCTGTTCCTTAATCCTTGTTAAGAAAATTCAACCCTTCTAAAAAGTACAGAATTATTTATATAAGAAAAATAAATGGTCTTTATCATTTTCTCCAGAAATGTGATGTATATGTTAGGGTATTTTTTCTTTTTCATTTTCTTAACTGGCCTTTTTTTTTTTACTCTCTTCTAAATTCTTAAGACACTCAGGAGTCAACAGACAATTAATAAAATTTCATGTGAGCATCATCCTACTCTAAGGCAGATTCACAAGGTCATGAACATAGGTAAACTCTTAGAATTTTATTTTCTTGTTAATGCCATGTCTTTGTTTGGATTCCAATACTTCAAAAAAAAAAAAAAAAAAGAAAGAAAAAAACAACAAAACAAAACCAAAACCCTAGAAACCAATACCCAAGCACAAAACACCCTTTCCAAGTATCATATATTTTGTTTAGCAGAACTTACAACCTGCTGGAATTACTCACTGATTTGACATCAAATCTCCTTGATATAACTCTATGAATCAAAGAATTTTCACCTTAATAGATAAGGACTGCATAACCTGGTTGGTAAAGATAATATTTGACACAGAAATCAATACCATTGTTTTTTTGTATGCCTCAAGCACACTATCTAATTCTAATCTGGCACTTGTTTGGATGTGACTAAGATATTTTCTTGGGGAAATAAATAAAGTCTGAGTTAATCATCAGTGTGGGAAGGTATTTTTAAAGTAGAAGCATGCAGAACAACTGTATCATGCAAGGCTTACAGACTGCCAGTGAAAATACCATTGTCACATTCATGTAGTCACATATTATTAAATTCAGGGGTGATATTCTCATGTAACACCTACATAGTTCATCAGCCTCAGAGGAGCTGCACAATGAGAGTAGAAGTTGACCTTTACAGTTCATGTACTGAGTCACAACTTCATCTCCAAAGCTGCTGTAACCGTAATGCACTTCGCCTTTACATCCATTTTATCTGCCTGCTAAATATAAACCTGTTCTGGAAAGTTAAAGTGGACATGTGACAGGGGCCACTTTGGATAAGCCCCAGCACTCAGACACTCTGCCCTATTAATGGTTCCATCCCAGTTCTGCCTAATGCTCCCCTGCGCCGGTGTTTGCTTTCTCCTAGATTACCTGAGCTCACACAATCAATAAAAGCAGCAGAAGAAAGCTCCCCGTTCACTTTCTGCTACGGTTCTGTCTCTTCCTTTGCAAATCTTTTAACAAAACGTGACCAAACGTTTCTGTTCATTTAGCTGGAAATTCTCAAGCATCAGACGGGTTTTAAATGCACTTTGGCACGGTAGAAATGTCAGGGACACTCAGCTCACATAGGCAAACAAGAGGCTGTCTTTAAAAATTTTGACATCAGCTGGAAGATGCAGAGACAGGTCAACAAAATGTTATTAGGACAATGTTAATTAGGACAAACCTTTATCCTGTGACCGTGCTATTTAAATCTGCAGAGGGAGAGGAATCTGGAGGAATGGAAACCATGCCTGAGCACCATTTCCTGAGGCTGTCAACACTAATTGCAATGTAAGACCTTCTGTTCTTCTTGCCCTGTAATAGAGCAAACCTGCATAGCTCCAGAACTTACAGGATGCTGTCTCCATTAGTGCTGGCACCTTCAAAATTATCTTGTCATAAAAATACTACTTTCCAGCAAAGAGATAATAGGTATTTCTTTAAAGGGGGTAGCTAGGGCAGTATTTATGATTCTGTATCAGCTTGGTTTTGACAGTATTATTTAGAACAGAGTCTTGAAAAATGTCCTTACCATAGCACTATAAAAGCAGATATAGATTAGGCTTTGAAACTTCAATGTTCAAAACGTTGTGAACTAAATTAAGATTGAGGGGGTGGTGGATGGCTGCCTACTATTGCATACATTAAACCATAGTTTCTGTGTGTGGTACTGCTTACTTGCCTCTAAGGATTTCAGCATTTGCTGTGTACAAATATTTATAGTAGGCAAACCCAACATTTCTTTTTAAATTTCCTTTTACAAACAGTGCCTGATGCTTCCCATCTCTAACCACAGTTTCCACATCACAGAAGGATGCATGAGGCTGCAGGCTATTTGAGGGAATGTCTGCATGTATATTTGTTAAAATTCAGTGCTCAAAACTTACATTTACTGCATCTGTCTTAAAATTCATCAGAGGGGGTAGACCAGCTTGGTAGTAAGGACACCCTCAGAAGTGAAAGGTGTGGGTGAGAGTTCCCACAGCACACTTGGCAAGTGAGCAAGAGTAAAAAAGCAGCAGCATCCTCAGATTCAGTGAGACTGCTGGGAATGTTTGGACTGGGAGAAGAAAGTGAGAAATATCATTGTGAGAATTCTGGTGGTGTTTACACAGTGACAGTGCTTGAGACAAGGCTGAGGTGCCCCTGCATCTCATGTTGCTTTGACCTGGCTAGTCCAAGGCTTATTGTGTTGGTTTGGGTTTTTTTCCTTGCTTTGCAGTGTGGTTTCTCTGGTTTTATGCTTAAGTTTATGATAAAAAGAAGTTGGGCAACTAACATTACCAGAAGAGGGGAAGTGAAATTTTTCAAAGGTACCCCAATTGTGTAAAGTACAGCAGAAGCTAAATTACTCTGAAGTTGTGTTCCCAGGCATACCACAAAAACATCCAGACCTGAATGAATGTGTAATTTGGTTTAAACCAATTTAGCTTATTTGTGCTGATAGTTTTGCAGTGGTTTAAAAATGCAAAGACTTTACATATTGATGTAAAAACTTAAGTTCTCTGTTTGATTTTGAGTGGAATGAACATCAGCAAAACCAAGTGTTAGTTCATTAGAAAATGTTCATTATGACAGAGAGAAATTACAGAAAAATTAATTTGAAAGGATGTAGCCTTAAAAGCTGTTTGTACAATTATTTGAATCTGTTCTTGTCCTCATATTAACATGAGTAGATGAAAACCAGACATGAGTTCATGTTGTTTTACTGAAATACCCATTTCTGTGAGGGAGACACAGGAAAGAGACCTAAAAAAATGTTTCCCATGGTGTGCATTAAAGGACAAGTGGGACAATTTAAACATTCTGGGCTAATGAATTCAGATGTACTTATTTATGTTGTTACTATTTGATTTTTCAAGACCTCTCATCAGGCTGCAAATGTGAGACAGTGGCACAATGAAACATAATGGTGTCAAATTTAATACTGACGGGCATAATTTTCTCTACTTATGAATTATATGTCATTAAAAAGATTTGGAAGCCAGCAGCAATAATCTAGGATTATTTTCATGCTTATTAGTAAAGGAATTAAAGCTGATTTTTCTAATATGAGACAGTGGGTAACTTTTCCCTGTGTTCTGGTGGTGGTGGTTTGGTTTTGTTTTTTTTTTTTATATACTCTTAGTCCTTATCAGGTTTGCTTGTCCTATTCTTAATCTTATCATCCGCATTTCCACTGGCTAGACTGTCAAAGGAACACCAAGTGCTGCAGATAAAATGCTAGAGGTGTAAAAAGCTGCTGCTCAGAAGCTAAATCAGAATCACATGTCAACACAGTTCAGGCTCAGGCTCTGGCAGGATGGTAGGATCATTGTTTTTAATGCCATTTACTAATTAAAAATGAGTCCCAGATTACGGAAAGTCTGGACTGAAGCGGCTTACTAAAGCGGTGGTTTAGCTCCTTGAACTGGCTACATCAGAGCCTGTCATTATAATGTAATTTATTTGAATATTGCTCAGCAATTTCCAGCTGCTCTTCTGACAAGAGGCGGCGCGGTTTGTGTTTCACACAATCAACACCCCGTGTTTCGGCCGGAGCTCCCTTTACCCCCGACCGAGACGCGTGGCAGGACTGCGGCAGGTGTATTTTATTCGGCAGATGTACGGTAAACGCATTACAGCAGATCAGCTGGATTTTTTCCTTTAAATGTACACTGTGAGATCCAACTTGCAAGCCAGCTGTTTCTTATCGGCCCGTGTAATCTTCCCGAGCCCGGCTTTGCTTCTTCCTCTCGCAGCTATTTCTGTAACGGGATCGGACGAACGAGAGCACCGCTATGAATTTTAATGCTTCCACTGGGGAATCCCTGCCGCCTCCTCTTTTTGGATGAGATCCTCGAGGAAAGACCCAGAACAGAGCGAGGAGAGGAGGAGGAGAAGGAGGAGAGGGCCGGCGTAGCCGCGCTGCTGGGGAAGGGGGAGCCGCGGGGTGTAGTTAGGGACCGTGGCGAGGGCGACACCGAGGCGGGCACTGGGGCGGGAGGGAGCCATGGGGAAGGAAGGATGGCTCGGGGCGTGTGTCGCTGCCTGACCGCGGCGCGTCACCAGCGGCAGCGGCCAGAGCGCCGCGGTCCCGCCGCCGCCCCCGCACACATGCACCCGCGGGCATCCCCCGGGGCCGGCCGCGACCTGGACAGCGCCGAGGGCATCCCGCTGGGTCCCGGCGAGAGACGGAGCCTGCGGACCGGGCGCTAAAACCGCCTCGCCATCCGCACGCCGCGGTCCGAGAGGAGGAGCCCCGGGTGCCGCGCCAGCCGCCGGCACCGCCGCCGCTCCCGCCGGCACCCCATGGATAAGGCGGGCTCGCTGCACAGCTCGGTGCCCGGGCCGCCGCCCCGGCTCTACCTGCCGCGCAACTTCAGCTGCAGCGCCTGCCTCTATGGCAGCCTGGCCGAGCAGTGCAGGGCGGGCTGCAGCCCCGACGGCGACGCCGCGCCCACGCCCGTGGTGCGGGAAGCGGCGGGCGAGAAGCCGCCGCCGACCCGCGGCCGGGAGCCCACGCTGCCCGCCGTGCCCCCCAGCCCCACGCAGCGCCGCCGCGCCAAGTCTCTGCCCACGCCCGGCGACCGCAGCCTGCGCCCCGCGCTGCAGCAGAGCCCGTCGCGCCGCAAGACCGTGCGCTTCGCCGACTCGCTGGGGCTGGAGCTCACCTCCGTGCACCTCTTCTGCGAGGCCGACCTGCCGCGGGTGCCGCTGCCCGCGCCGCCGACGCCGCGCCCCGCCGACCTCCTCAAGACCAGGAAGCCGCCGGCGCTGGGCGACCTGGAGCCCGTGCTGTTCGGGCCGCCGCCGCCGCTGCTGGAGCCGCTGTTCCCGCCGCAGCCCGGCGCCAGCCCCGGCTTCGCGGAGCGGGTGCGGCAGCACAAGGTGAGGCTGGAGTGGGTGCGGGCAGAGCCGGCGGGGCTGCGCGGGGCCGTGCGCGTCCTCAACCTCGCCTACGAGAAGGTCGTGTCGGTGCGCTACACGCTCAATGGCTGGGCCAGCTGCGCCGAGGCTGCCGCCACGTACCAGCCGCCCGCGCCGGCCGACGGCATCACCGACCGCTTCGCCTTCCTGCTGCCCCTGGGCGCCGCCGCCGCCGCCGAGACCACGCTGGAGTTCGCCGTCCGCTACCGCGTCGCCGGCGCCGAGTACTGGGACAACAACGAGGGCAAGAACTACCGGCTGCGGGGCCGGCAGCGCATCCCGCCCGCCGCAGGGCCCCCGCAGGACCCCGACAGCTCTGCCTGGATCCACTTCATCTGAAACGGGGGAGCGCGGAGCCCGCGCAGGGCCGGGGGGCCCCTCCCGGGGGGCTCGGCGCGCTCCCCTCGGCGCCTGCCCCGCAGCCGCCCGCAGGAGTTCTCCCGAGTTCTGTTTACAGAGGGGTAATTTGTGTTTTCTGTGTCACTAGCGGGGCCGGGGGGAACCCTGGCTCGCCTCCCAGGCGCTCACGGGGTGTGGGAGGGAAGCCGGGCGCCGGTTCCCCCTCAGCGTCCCGAGCGCTGTGGCTTCCACCAAAGCAGCGGCTGCCGGCCGGGCTCCGGTGACAGGGGCCGGGAGTGTGCGGGATTTGCCGGTCAGGACCGGGATCCGCAGGTGAGTGCACATCCTCCCGGCCCCGGAGGTCAGGCTGAGCTGCTGTCACCTCAGCAGGTTACACGGAAGGCGCTGCCACAGGGCATCCCTCCGTCCTGTTGCCTAATCCTGCTCAGGCAAAGCTCGGATCCGCCCTCAGCGCCTCGCTGACCCGCGGGGTCAAGGGCCTGATAGTGCAGCTAAGGGGCAGATTAGTTTTGAACTCAAAAAGACAAAAGTATGGATGCCCCAAGGCGTAGCTGTGTTTGTATGCAGTGAAGGTATTCGACTTAAAGCAAAGATTTTTTTTTTTTTTTTTTTTTTTTTTTTAATTTTGAACCCTGTTTCGGGTATTTAATCATAGTTAAAAAGCAAAAAAATAGCATCATGTCCTATTTGGAACGCAACTCACTGAGAGATTTTTAAAAGAAAGTGTTTTGGTTTAGAATTCATGTGGTATGTTGATGGAAAAGTTTGTCAGGATCTGGGGTTTGTTTCAGTAGGATTGGTCCCACAGAGCTGCTTGTGTTCAGGTCAGCAGGAAAGTCGTGGAATTGCACCAAAAGAACGAGAGACGACAAGAGTTGAATCCGTAATGCCAGTCTGCACCATGAGCAACACCTTCATTTTTATTCCTTTTGACAGTTTAATTAAACAGTATCACTGCAGCAGCCTGCTTTCTGAATTTCCTGCTCCAAATTCTTCATAATAATTTCAGTAAGTGATGGATTTTACAAAACTGGTGAGGTTTAATCAGAGAAATCAAAGAAAGTTCTACCTTGCCATATAAAAGTATATCAATCAAAATTACACAGCATACTGACTTCTGCCTTCAAAGGTATGTTTTAAATTATAATAGCACTAAACAAAGCATTTTCCTTTTTAAACATGCTTTTTCAGGAGTTCAGCTGAATACAGGTTGTGCTGGTGCCAAATCTGGGTGCTAATTTTCCAGGATTGAGACATGAATGTGTTTGCTGGAGTGGGGTCTCTGCAAATGTAGTTAATGACAGTGGCAAAGCCATGTCAGTGTGATTTTTGGGTTCTGAAGGGCTGTAGCATCAGGCCATTAGGTTTTGATTTTTCCATAGGTTTCAGGAGGAAATGCAATTTTTTAAACTGCATTTTTGTGTTTCTTGAAAGGGTTAAGTGTCCCAAGCAGCTTGAGTAATGTCTGGAGTAATGAGTTCTCACAGAACCTTTTGACTCTGGCGAGAATTGAAAGCAGTTTTGTCTCCTGAGGGTCTCATTCAGTCCGAATAATTAAACTTACAAATTCTGGGGGAAAAAGAGGTCTGGAGACTCAATGGGAAAAGGACATTTAATTTCATTTCTGTAGATTACTGGTTCTGATTTAATGGAAGTAACAGCAAGGCTGCTTTCTGTAGTATTGGTAGCTTGGTTTTAATTTCCCATTCAGTGTCCTAATCCCTGTGCTTGTAATGAAACTAAACTTAACAGAAATACACTGTCAGCATCTACTGAGTATTTCACATTTTAGGAGATTAAGGTCCCCATCTTGTAATACAGTAATCCTGTAAGTTACTAGAACACATTTATAAAGCTAGAATTGCACAAATAGGGTCTTTAAATGTTCATGATTAAAACATATTAAGAGGTGTATTTGATAAAGCAAGCCCAAGTGTCTTTTAGTTGAACTTTACTTCTTATAGAGCCTTAATACTGGAGAGAAGGAAAAGGACTTGTCTCCATTTGAAAGCACTTTGAAATCTGGTAGAAATATAGCAAACCATCATTTATTTATGTGTTGTAGCTTTCCAAAGCTTGGCCTTTTTAACTGACAGAGTGAACCAACAGAAGCTATGTGGACTAATGAAATTGCTTGGAGAAAAAAAGTGGTTTCTATGCATTTTAGATCAACTGATGCTGCAACTTTGCTTATGAAGTTTTAACAGGATTTTCTGTTTATTGTTTCAATGGCTTTAAAAAACATGGACAGCGCTAAAAAACATTTTTAACACTGAGCAATTGTAGAACTCCAAAATTATTTCCCAGTTTTCATTGTTGTTTGATTTATGCAGCATATGTAGGTCTCTAAAAATTCTCTAAAAGTCTCCAAAAAAGTTTTAAAATCTCCTTCCAGCACCTGTGGTTTAAATCTTTCAATCTGGATTACCTAAGTGGATGTACCTGCATCAAGTGCACATGGAGGTTGTTGTATTTCACTTTATTTTTGATCATGGCTTAGGTGAATTTACTGATTTTCTTAGTTGGAATTTTGCAGGCAGAATTGATCTTTATAATGCTGTTCAGATATTACTGTGGTTTTATTTATGGCCACCATTGCCAAACACAAACCTGAATATTCAATCTTTTGAAGCATACCAGGAGAGTGTTTTGCAAAACAGTCTCTTGAGCTTTCAAGCAGTTAATCCTGACCTTAACCTAAACTTTGTGAGTAACTTTATGGGCTTGATCAGAGATTATGGATGAGACATGTGCAAATCCAGTAAAAGACGTGGTCTTGTAGGAGGTTTAGAGACAGCTCCATTGTAATGCCTGGAAAGGGAAAGCTGCACCCAGCCAGCTTTGACCAGAGAATGCATTGATGAAGGCTGTGGAAGGAGATTGGGATGTTTTCATAGAAATTATCAGTAGCATATGCCAAAACTGCACTACTTCGATTACACATTTGCACTTCTGTCACAGGAATTTATTTCCAAGAAAGGTTTATTCACATTTCCAAATATGTGTTCAGTTCAGTGGCTGGGAGTATTTTTCCACTGGCAGCATTCATGTAGTTTTCAATCCATTAGATTTCAATCTAAGCCCATCTATTCCATCTAATACTTGCTAGAAGCACTGTGATAAGTGGAGATGTAATAGAAATGTCAAATGATATTTAAATAACACATAAACAATGACTTTGAGGAGAAAAACTTGTTGAAGGGGGTCATTTTCAAGTTGACAGGACACCAATTATTTCTTTTGGGAGCTTGAGCAAAACATATTTTTAAAATTTTATTTCTAAAGAATATTGTTCAAGAAAAAACTTTCACGAGCAAAGTTACATATCTGAAAAATTTCAAGCCAATCTGTTTCTAGAAAAATTGATATTATATGCATGAATGGTGCTCATGCCTCCTCCCTTTGCAAGTGATACCAGGATGGTTTAGGCAAGGCAATAATCCTCTGCTTGTGTACTTCACTTCAAAGTGAATTATTCATTGCTTCTGTCCCTGCAGGTGTAAAAATGTGTCTG